TCAATATGTCGTATCTCTCTTATAGTCTTATATTATTCATCGCTATGCGGGTTTTACACTGAACATCGTATATAAATACCATAAAATACTATTTATATGTCCTGAAATGTTACGGAGTTCTGGTACATAGTATGATGTCTTCATCTGAACATTCAAAATTTTCCACATTCTTTCCATCAAAATATCATATCGGTTTTATGGTCAAATATTAGGCTACGCATCGCAATATACCGGGAAACCGTAATACTTCAGGATCTATAAACAATATTAATACGTGTATATATACTAAACTACATTGTCCATAGTGATTCGCACAATGAGCCATCAAATCGATATGATATACTGACAGAAACAATGGCGACAGTTTCCAATGTTTACATGTAAACCCCGATTCGTACCGGAGGATCGTAATATTTCAATGTCCATAAATAGTATTACGTTTATGATTTATAAAATTGTGTTCGTGTTGATTCCCGCGATACGTAGATTATCAGGTCATATATTGTTACGGTGAATGTCAGGAATTTTCAAGGTGCATATAAAACTCATTCCACGTACCGGAACACCGATAATAATTCAGTGTCGGTAAATAATATTAGATCGTCTTTATATATTAGAAAATTGTTTTCATAATGTTCCCCATTGAGGACAGAGTTATATAATACCATCAGATCAATATGATAAATTGGTAGAATGAAGGACGAATTTATTGAATGCAATCCGAACCGTACCGGAGGACCGTAATAGTTCAGGCACGAAAAGTAATATTTGATCGTAGTTCTATATTAATGAATAGTGTTTACATTGATTCTCGTAATGCGTAGAATAATATAATTCTATCAAAAGCGACGTCGCTATGAACGCATGGCCACTACAAGCCAGTTGTCCCTCTTGTAACCATTCTGACAACTCTTGCCGAAAATTCTTTAAGCCATAAAGTATCAATAGGCCGTGCTTTCGCAATTTCTATGCGTACTGAATATTGAGATCATGTCAGCTTTCCTCCTTTTGCTTTACGAGGTTTTTGTCCTCGCTGAGCTGGCCTTAGTATACCTGCGTTATTTTGCGACAGATATACCACTTCATTCAAACTTCCCCCCTCCCCTGTCCTTGAATCAGAATACGCGGTAGTATATTAGGCGATCGGCCGGGGAGGCCTCACACCACTTTTATATGCTTGATTCTAGTACATCTTGACAACCAGGTCGAAGCACCGGGGCAAGCTTCCCGCCAAATCAAGTAAGTAGAGAAACGATGAATGCAGTGTTATTTTAACGATGATATTACCATCTCCCACTTATGCTGCACCTCCCTTGTTTCCTTTTTTTCCAGTGCCAAGTTCAAGGTCAACAGTGTCTTCTTTCCCCATTAATTTTTCCAAGCCCGTTCCATTGGCAGTGGTTTCGCTGAAAAGTAAATAGGGACATATTTTATTTTCATTTGGCCATCTACACTTTGCAGCTCGAGCTTCAACTTATTGATGCCATATACTCTTCCTGAATTTCATTAACCTTTTCTTTTCTTTGATCATTTGCTGCATAGTAATATTTATGTCACTTTTTTGATGGGTTTCTTAGCCGTTTGAGTTAATCAAACATTTCCGTTTTTTCCACGAGGAGGCGGATCCTCTACTTTTCCTCAGTATCTTTCTTTTCGCATTTCAAACGCTTTTCTTCAAAATTCATTGAATTTTTCCATCATTCTTTTGTTACAAATCAGTTCAGCCAGCGGGTGTGGCCCAATAGAATAACCCTGACATATTATCTGCGTGTCGTAAAAGGCGACTAAAAGATGTCCCTGGTTCGGGAGAGAGAGTAGGCCAAACGTACCTCTGCGTGTCGTATAAGTCGACTAAAAGAGGGCACGATATGCAACATAAAACGTGTATGGTCATACACCCTTCACGACACAATATGTAACAAGATCAGAAATCCTTAGAGCCGACATCGACGGTGATCTTCGATCCCGCAAGGGCAAATTATACGAAAGCTTAATGTCTGATTGTTACCTGCACGATCTCTTCGCAGGGTGACGCACCTCAACACCTCCGGGAATAGGCCTAACGTCTGAGCACGATAGAGCAGGAGCAAGTTCGCTTGCGGCCCTAATAAGCTCATTTTAGAAGTAACAATAGTTGTCACAAATCAATTCTATTTTCCTGCATTTGCAGGATTTCAATTACGTATATATAAAATTCTGTTACACAGCACATCCAAGTGTGATGTAGTCTGTCGTTTCTTCTTCTTTGCTACACGAAGGACAGATATTTGAATCTGCAAGTCCCCTTTTGTATAGTGTACTATTAATTGGTCCATAACCGGTGATCATATAAATAGTAATCCGGTTTAACCCTTTGACTGCTAGTTGTTCTAAGTTGAAGCGCTTCGCGTGTGCGGCATGCGGCCCACGGATGCGATTGCTGAGGCCTGAATACTTTTTCGCGCAGTATGGACCTCGTCGGCGGCGTATTAACACTTTATAGTATAGTACACATAGTAAATAATTATTATTACTTTGTCTGTTTTAAAAAGAATCCAAACATTTTTTATTTTATATATACTATTTATTCACCACTGTTAAAGTTTTAAAGTTTTAAAGTTTTAAAGTTAATAATTCATTTGTGTATGTGTTTTAAAGTTTTAAAGTTTTAAAGTTAATAATCATTTGTGTATGTTTCTCACCACCTGCTTGTTTCCTATTTTGCGGATATTTTTGTAGAATTTGT